GGCCGTGTCTATACGGAATCACCCAAGGCGGTTTACATGTGGTTTACCCCGAAGCCGGTTTCAAGTTGCTCCATGTGAACGCTCCGAAATCACATTGAAAGCGCCTCGAGCCCAAGCCACTTCTAGAGGTGGTTTCGAATCGGTTTCCCCGCATCGCGATTTGCGTCTGAACGCAATGTGATTTCAATGTGACTTCGCCTGGTCATGGAGTACGGGGTGATATTTCTTTATTTATATGCAATACCAACTTTTACGTGGCAGCAACTTAAAGAGCAGTAATGGTCAAATAATGTGTCCGTTCTAGGGCGAGCTTCACCGCCTCTACCGGGACCACGTCGGCATTCGGCCGAGAAGAGGGGGGCATCAGCAAGCAGATCGTTGACCTCTGACATTAATAACACGCCGCCTTGCGTGTTATCATCAAACAGCAATAAATGTAGCTCAAGCGCATTATGTTCGGACACGGTTTCACAGGTGTGTGTGGCACGTGGACCAGATGTGAGGAATGTGAGTTACCCGAATCGCGGTTTGGGTGATTCCGTATAGACACGGCCTAATTTGTTTGGTCTCTAGGCCAACTCTACCAGTTTACACGGCGGCCACGACGCACATTTTTACCAATCAATATATTCACCTATTTGTACATAGTAAGAGTTATTACCTTCTAGAATGAAATTAAATTTATCTATAGCATGAAATGTCACGAATTCCGTTGAGCAAGCGGAGAGAAGGTTGAATAGCTTTGGTATGTGAAGTTTTAACCAATCAGGGGTGTTACACATTATGTCACCCTTGATGACGTATACTCGAGTATAAAACTCGAAACGTAGCCCGTAGAAGACAGTACAGGCGACCACCAGCAAGATAATGCTTCACTTTCCGTACGTGTGAGCCGCTCCCGGGGAGCGGACAGTCTGCCGGGCAGGGGACCGTGCCAGATGGGGACCGGGTCAGATGGGGACCGGGCGCGGACAGGCCTGTGGGCGGGCGCCGGGACGAGCCGACCCCGAAGGTGAGTTGAAGCCAGTACTGGTAAGTTGTCCTCCTCCGTGGCCAATATGTACCCCGATATAAGAGTACAAGTAAACAACATTTCCACGTGCACCGTTCCTTGTGAGCACACCCGTTAGCCTCCCTGTGCTTGTAGTTTCTTCGGATAAAAATTTCATCTCAATCAGGAAAGAGTTCCATACAAGTTACGTACAAATATCAGACTGGGGGACTTGTACTACTAAATTGTAGGTCAACAATTACAAGAATTTGAGCGCTTTGACCGACATTCTCTTTTCATAATGTGAGGAGGATATGGTCAACTTATTTACACATTTCGCCCGGCAATTTTGAACATTAAACCGCACTAAATAATTTTGTAAGAATATGTACAATCCGACTGGTTAGAAATCTAGCAGAAACTTCCTTCGTCTTTGTTTTGGATGTGGATTGGGTTGTTTAGCACCGCCGCTTGGTCTCTATACATGTAGATTTCTAAAATCTCGGTTGGTCATGGCTTACGCTGAAGTTAAATGAACCTTTCATTTATCACTATCATTATATTATTCAGTGGTATTAGCCATTTTTTTTATTTCTTTATATACTTCCATTACAAAAGCATGGTGTTCACGAATTCGATGGCCGCGGCACAGTACAGAAAGTTGAGGGGACCGATGGGAAGTGAAGGGGAGTATGAAGATGCATTGTGTCGCAAGGCATTTAATGTTTTTAGGTCATTGATTTCCGTCGAACGGTCTTTTTTGTTGTATTGACGTTCTGGATTGTCACATGCTACTAATGCCGTAGTCGCTTGTTTTTATTTTGTTTTACGGGGGCTCAGTAGGCTAGTTGTTTGGCCAGGATACGGGGAGGCCAGGAGAACTCGGTAACTCGGAAAACGGGAGAAAGAAAGGTGCTTGCATTGGTACATCGGCACCGGTCTTATGCACTATACTTCATATGTAAATCGTCTTGAGNTTTAGGTTCTTATTCTGTTGGAGTGGTTGCAAAAGTGATTAAATTGAAGATCCTAGAGACTAAACAAATTATAAGAGCGTCAAGGTGTTGAAACAGCAACTCACCAGCTGAGAATTTCAAGGGTTCAACGTCTCCATCAGAACATGCAGCATCAACAGACTGAAGTAGCCATTTTCTTCCCTTATTTTGACAGGGCCATTATGTACCATTTCTGCACCAAAAATTGAAATATTTCAAATGAAAGAAATCACTTTTTGACGTACGTGTGTATTTGTACAGTTTCTGCTCTGGAATTCGGACACCAAAGGAAAAAGGCAAGAAATTTGAATGACGGAAAGTTTGAAAAGACTGACCAACTACGGAAGAGGGGATTCAGTAAGTGGTACTCAAAGCCCTTACCCGTTCCTTTGTTTAAAAAATAGCGGAAGAAAATATTGGCAACATCAGTCTGTTGATGTTGTTGTCGTGGTGACGTTGGGTTCTTAAATTCTCAGGTGGTGACAAGTTGTTTTCAACAACTTGACTTTACTCCGTGTGTTTATACTAGCTGGCAAACACGGTAATTAATCATTGTTATTGATTGTACACACGGTTGTCACGACCCAAACTTTTTTACTCCTCAAAGGGCCACGACACATGAGCCGATCAAAGACAATATACATATAGTTTAGAACGTGCCTCACTTTATAGTAGAGTGGATACTACACTTGCCACTATTCGGGCCTTGACACAACAAAAGTGCAGCGACTTTCGTAAGGTCTAAGACTGCAAGTAGATATACAGACAAATACATGGGTACAATGAAATTAACCTACGTACAAAACAATAGATAAGTCAGCTAATGTTCTAAGGTCCCTTGAAATTCTCAGCTGGTGAATTGCTGTTTCAACACCTTGACGCTCTTATAATTTGTTTGGTCTCTAGGCCAACTCTACCAGTTTACACGGCGGCCACGACGCACATTTTTACCACTCGATATATTTACCTACTTGTACCCATTAAGGGTTAGGCAGGCAGGTAGGCAGGCAGGGTTATTACCTTCTAGAATGAAATTAAATTTATCTATAGCATGAAATGTAACAAATTCTGTTGAGCAAGCGGAGAGAAGGTTGAATAGCTTTGCGCGTTTATCGTTATATAGTGTACAATTCAAAATAAAATGTTGTTCGTCTTCAATATCATTGGGACAGAGTGGACAAAACCTCTGGTCGCGAGGGATTTTTTTGTATCTTCCTAATTCTATATTCAATTTATGGCTAGAAATTCTCATCTTTGTAATCGATCTACGAACTTCAAAATTATGTATTTCAGAAAGGTAATTTTCTTATATATGGCAGGGCATTGCCGCAAAAGGTGACATACCCACAAGCGGATTGCTGATAAGTAGGTCAGGGCTTGAGCGCAGCTGACCGTTCTATATATGGCAGCATGATGCAATCTCCTGGACTTCCCTCACTGTCGACTCAGCAACTGTCATTTGAATATTTTATTATATTAACGTGGTATGTGAAGTTTTAACCAATCAGGGGTGTTACACATTATGTCACCCTTGATGACGTATACTCGAGTATAAAAGTCGAAACGTAGCCCGTAGAAGATAGTACAGGCGACCACCAGCAAGATAATGCTTCACTTTCCGTACGTGTGAGCCGCTTCGGAGGAGAGGACAGTCTGCCGGGCGGGGCCAGGCCTGTGGGCGGGCGCCGGGACGAGCCGACCCCGAAGGTGAGTTGAAGCCAGTACTGGTAAGTTGTCCTCCTCCGTGGCCAATATGTACCCCGATATAGGAGTACAAGTAAACAATATTTCCACGTGCACCATTCCTGGCGAGCCTCCCTGTGCTTGTAGTTTCTTCGGATAAAAATTTCATCTCAATCAGGAAAGAGTTCCATACAAGTTACGTACAAATATCAGACTGGGGGACTTGTACTAAATTGTAGGTCGACAATTACAAGAATTTGAGCGCTTTGACCGACATTTTCTTTTCATAATGTGAGGAGGATATGGTCAACTTATTTACACATTTCGCCCGGCAATTTTTAACATGAAACCGCACTAAATAATTTTGTAAGAATATGTACAATCCAACTGGTTAGAAATCTAGCAGAAACTTCCTTCGTCTTTGTTTTGGATGTGGATTGGGTTGTTTAGCACCGCCGCTTGGTCTCTATACATGTAGATTTCTAAAATCTCGGTTGGTCATGGCTTACGCTGAAGTTAAATGAACCTTTCATTTATCACTATCATTATATTATTCAGTGGTATTAGCCATTTTTTTTATTTCTTTATATACTTCCATTACAAAAGCATGGTGTTCACGAATTCGATGGCCGCGGCACAGTACAGAAAGTTGAGGGGACCATGGGAAGTGAAGGGGATATGAAGATGCATTGTGTCGCAAGGCATTTAATGTTTTTTAGGTCATTGATTTCCGTCGAACGGTCTTTTTTTGTTGTATTGACGTTCTGAATTGTCACATGCTATTGATGCCGTAGTCGCTTGTTTGCTCTAGTTATTTTGTGAGTTCGAGACTTTATTTTGCTTTACGGGGGCTCATTAGGCTAGTTGTTTGGCGAGCTGACGAGCTATTGGTCTCGTAGCTAGAGGGATGTCCTTCATTTGCAAACAGTGTTTCGGCTTAAGAATTATTTCCTGAAATAGAGTTGAGGGTGTGCAGAATCAAATTGTGACCCAACATAAACTGGGGTGTGCCCCCTTATATGCTTTTGTGTCGGCATACGCCGTCGCCCACGCGGCCTACTTTCAATGTTATTACTGATCTAATTGATCATTATGACATATTGATGGGCACTAAGCAAGTACGTATTCTTAAGTTGCTTTACCACACCTGTTATCTTTCATCATTTTAGTGTAGGTCATAATTTTGTTTACGTAAAGTTTCAGCAACTTGACATGTTCCACCGTGAGTTTCCGGGGTGTCTATCCTGACATATATTTGCAAATGGAAGCCAATCCTATTTGTTTCTCTGGGAACGGCTTCAGTTTATTCTTGTCTTTTTCTCTCTTTGTCCCGCAGGTGAGCTACGCCATGCCCATACCCACTCCCGGGCTACAGAAGGAATTCACTGGTGAGATGGACAAACACCTGTTATCTTTTATCATGTAAGTGGCGTCGGAATTTTGTTTACGTAAAGTTTTAACCACCTTACATGTTCCTCCAGGATTTTCCGCCCTTACCTACAAGTAATATCCTCTCCCCTCTGATAAGACTTACCTGTCCAGATTGATTATTATATCAACAACGTGCCAGTATTTTCCTATCCTACATCAGGCCCTGAGTCCTGCAGCCTTTTCTCAGGACAAATTCTCTACAACAGTACCTGAGGCTGGGTAGAAACTCCAATCTGGAAGAAGTCTATTGCTATGACTTAATAACATATCCTAAATGTTAAACATTCAATCAAATTGCTGGTAGCTGCCGGTATAATTAAATAGTTTGTGATTGTCGTAAAACCTAAATAGCATGTATTTCTGTACAGTAAAATGTAATGATTGTAACAGCTGAGACTCCGATCAGAAAATCTACCGGCAGAGATTCCAATCGGTGTTCCTCTAGAGTCTCTTGAAAGGCAGAAGTGGCATAAATTTATTCATTATCTTTCTCTCTGTGTGCCCGCAGCGAGTGCCCCTCATTCACTCGACATTCACTGACAAGATGGACTAACAGTACCGTTTACAGAAGGACAAAAACAGCGGTAAGTCCACACATTATATATGCCGTTTCTGCTGATCTGAGAACATGTAGTTCATGTGTTATTGTACTGTAGCATCGTTCTTGATGAATGAACATACATATGACTTTCAACCTTTGTTTAGTTTGATGTGCGCATCATTGCATTCTGTAAAATTTATTGACTCACATGCTTTGCATATTTACATTTATTTCTAAAAACATGACCCTAAATCTTGTTAATTTAAGAGCAAAGCTAGGGAAAGGTTGGCACAGATTAATTTATGTTCTGTTATCTCTTGCTGACCACAGGTAAACTTCGCCAAGTCCATCCTGAGATGCAGACTACAGCAGGAATTCACGACGCCAAGTTGTGGAAGGATCGGGGTGTGCATGCAAGTTTTTCACGCAAGAAAAATAAGCATTGAATGCAGCAGCATCGTAGCCTGGGTGCCATCCGAATTTGTAACGGCTACGGGCAAATTCGGATGGCACCCAGGCTAGCAGCACCGTGAAAGCAAAAAAATCCAAGAATAAAAAAAGCAATACTGACACAAACACTCGCACAAATGAATAAAATCCCTTACACAAAACATCACCATCATCACATAGTTAAGTTATAAAAAAATTCCCAGGAATCAATCTGACTTGAAGTTTTACCATGCCCAATATAAGGGAAACGTTTGGCTGGAGTTGCAGAAGCCTGTATCGACAAACAGCTGAGACATCTTGGTCGTCATTAAATCTAGAGAACTTATTTGAAGTACATGTATCGCCATGTAACCAGTTAACACCAGGTCTCTTAAAACAAGTCCAAACGTCTCATTTTTTACCTTTAGAAAGTTCGTCCTCAGTCACTATCATCACCTTCTGTCCGACATATTTGATCCTGATAACATTTACACCTGGCATACCCTATGTTCTTAGACTCCGCTATTTGTTTTCTTATCATTATTATTAGCGTTGTTATTGTCACTATTATCATTTGTTCATTTATTATTTATGTGTCCGTGGTCATGTATTTATTTGTTTGTCATTGGTTGTGACTGTTTCTTGTTTTATCTGTGCATGTTTGCATAAGTGTTGCTTTAATTGTGCTTTTCATTTTTATTATGTTTTTAATTTGGACAGGGGGCTAAGACAAAGGCTAGACCTGTTCCCCCTGTCCAATTACATACTTTGTAATGAAGCTGAAATAAATAAATAAAATAAATATCGTAGAAACACTGTACAGACTACTGCATGTCTCATGCCACAAGCCACAATTGCTCTGGTGGCGCTATAGCAGGTCCACTATAGAAAATTGGTAGGCGTAATCATATTTAATCCCAGGCATTGTTAACTAAAGCCCCAAGGGAATGAATGCAAGATAGCAATCATATTAGTGGTGAAAATAATTACCCTTTAATATCTGATGGTATTTTACCGCGTGTTTGCACATTGTACCAGTACTGTGCCCAGGTAGTTCCCTGTATTCTTCGTGACCGTTGCAAGACGAATTATACTCTAAAACTCTGTTAGAGTGACGTAGCATGTGAGAAGACCCACTGTGTGCAGTAGATGTTTTTGGAAGAAATATTTCCGTGACTACATACGGGAGCGTCTTCTCAGTCCTATCGGCGGAAAGCGACGAACTATCCACCCAGTCGCGCGCGGGTGTGGTGAAATGGCGGCACATTTTTCACGGCTATGGTCAGCTACTGGTGATGTTCACTGCAGGTAGGGGCTAGATTAACTTCTAGGGTTGTACACACACCAGCACGACAAGTGACATTAAGAGGAGGATAGCGCTTGCTGCCTCAGCATTTGGTAAACTCAGAAAAACAGTCTGGAACCGTAGGGTCATTAGTAAACACCTGAAGATCCGGTTATTCCAGGCACTAATCCTGCCAATTGCTACAGATTAGGGGGAGCAAGGGGCAATATCCTGGCCTGAGCACATAGACAGGTAGATAGGGCACCAAAATGTATCAGGGGATCACGCCATTTCTACCAGAAAATTCACAATAGGGGAAAGGGGAGTCATAATTATGTTTAGTGTATACGTATATCCATTCCCTAGGGCCATGTACACAAAATATTACCAGTATAAACTTCGGGATACACTAAGACCCCAACTGGCATACAAGCTTAGCATATCCTGCTAGATTTTTTAGCGGGGTTTAGCCTGGTATGGACGCAAAATATTCTGTCCTGTATGAGTCCAGATTCGCAAAGTCCCCTTTCCGATGTGGTAAGAACCGGACAGCATGTGTAAACAAACCCAAGTAAACTGCTTGTATAGATTGCGTATCCTTTTTTCTTAGGATGGATACTGCCACATATAACTTTTATAAATATAAAGGTACTTCTCAGCTTTCCATTGTGACGATCATCATCATCATATCTTATCGGCCCACTGCTCCAGCCAGTCCAGGGCTTCCTGGTTAGCATCATACAGGTCTCGTTTGGTGGCAGATGGTCCAAGCTCGCAGTCCTGTAGGATGTGTTGCATGGTTTGGGTAGGGTGTCCACATGGGCAGTCAGCTGAGCTCACCCGTCCCCATTTTAACAGATTGTCTCTGGTCCTGCCCACTCCACACCTAGCTCTGTTCAGAGCGGCCCATTTCCTTCTAGGCAAATGGGTACCATGAGGTAGAGACTCACATGGGCTCTGTAGAGGTTCGTTTGGAGGAGAAGGGTCTGTAGTTCTCCACTGGTCCAGTCGGAACGTGACAGAGTCCTTAGGGTTCAGATTCTGTACGACCATAAAACTCCTCCTGGACTTAAGTCTTCTGCTGATGTCTCTGTAATGGTGGAGAGGGTGTCTTGGATCTTGTTCCTGTTGGAACTTCTGACTCCTAGCGTGAACCTCTCTACGGATGGGAGGTGGTGCAATACCTGCTAGTCTGTACAGTGCAGGTAGAGGTGTGGGTTTCAGCACTCCTGTGATGATACGGCAGGAGGTATTGAGTTCAGCATCCACTTTCCCTGCATGGCAAGACCTTTCCCAGACGGGAGAGCAGTATTCCGCTGCGGAGTAGCATAATGCCAGGGCCGTTGAGCGTAAGGTGTTGGCATCAGCTCCCCAGTTGAGTGTTGTCAGGTTGTTGAGGAGGTTGTTTCTTGAGGCAACCTTCTCCTTCAGTTTCCTTACATGCTCTCTGTATGAGAGAGTTCTGTCCAAGGTTACACCAAGGTAGACAGGAATCTTGTCATTATATAGCTTCTTGCCATTCCACGTAATGTCCAGCTGCCGCTGGGCCTGGTGGTTGTTCAGATGGAACGCACACACTTGAGTCTTGGCTGGGTTAGCGTTGAGGAAGTTGCTTTCGTAGTAGTCCGAGAGGCTATTCAGAGCAGCCGTGAGTCTTTGCTCCACTACACTAAAAGACTTATGTTGGGTGCCCAGTCCAAGGTCATCGGCATATATGAACCGGCGGATGTTCTGAAACTGGGGAATATCATTTGTGTATACGTTAAACAAGGTTGGTGCCAGCACTGAGCCCTGGGGGAGACCATTTGACTGTGATCGCCAGCGGCTCATTTTCCCATCCATCTCAACAAAGAACCGTCGGTTTTCCAGCAATGACTTGATTATCCGGACAGTGCTGGAATTTCTAACCATTCTAGCCAGTTTTAGTAGTAGCAGCCTGTGGTTGACAGTGTCGTAGGCAGCAGTCAGATCCACAAAGACCACTCCTGTGACTTGACCAGTTTCGAAACCATCCTCAATAAATTGGGTAAGGTTAAGAACTTGCCCACAGCAGGATCTTCCTGGCCTGAAGCCACATTGGTCAGGAGATAGTTGCTCTTCTATTGTGGGACCAATACGCGCGAGTAACATTCTCTCGTATAACTTAAAAAGTATGCAGAGCAATGATACTGCATGGGCGGTAGCTTTTGGCTTGGCAGGGGTCCTTATTGGGCTTCAGTAGGGCAACCACCTTAGCTTTCCGCCAGATCTTGGGGATTGTCAAGTTTTTGGCACAACTGTTGAACATCTGTAGCAGCCAGGCCTTGGTTTTGACGCCAAAGTGCCTTATGACTTCGGTCGTGATGCCATCCAGGCCTGCAGCTTTCCCAGGTTTCAAGAGTTTGATGGCGGCATTAAGCTCCGTGATGGTGAAGTTTTCAAAGACATCCTCACTTTCCAGCATCACTTTCTCCATCTCCTCTTTCATCCTCTTCAGGTGACCTCTTTCTTTGTTCAGAGGCTTTCCATTCAAGAGAAGTTGCTTAGCTACTTCATTGGGTGTCACAGCAGCCAGTCTTGCTTGCGGGTTCTTGTCAGAGTTCAGTTTCTTAATCGTGGACCAGGCTTTCTTACTATTCTGGGTCATGTCAACGCTGGTGATGAGTTCCTTCCACCGCTGTCTACGTCCTTCCGTGACTGAAGCCAACAGGGACTCTCCCAGTGCTATTGTTTCCTCAGCAAATGGGTCGGCTTCATATGCCTTTGTATACTCCTCATAGAGCTCTTTGCTGTCTTCATCTAAGCAAGGGATATAGGACTTGCGGCATCCTCTTGGGATATGGGATTGTGACGATAATTAGTCAGTACACGGGACGTTTCCGACAGTGGGAAACCTTGTACACTTCGCGAGTCCCATTGTGTGCGCGAGTTTCCGACATTGGACAAAGAGAAGTTTATTGCACGACAATTGTAACGGGTACAACGTCTGACAAAGTTACATACAAAGTTGGTGATGTTAAATTAACAATATTTAACATTCTAGGAGTTGACCGTTCTAACTTTTCTAAGAAGCTGATCTACTTTAATATATAACAATAAAAACACTAATCTATTTGTACTCACTAAGATGTTTTATTTTAGATGTGTTTGTGTAATGTTGTGTGCCTGTGCTATGGGCCATTAAGCCTGAAATAAACAATAAATAAATAATGATACTAATCTAACTCTTCTGACAATAATATGGTATTGCATAGAAATAAATTACATTATCTCGTTTTGTCAGCGAATTGTATATAAATTGGCCCACATAAGTGGATATATTGACAGGGCATTGAATATCAGTATATTGAATATCTGTCTTTGTATGAGGTAGCGTTATATCGTTCTTACATGCAATATACTGCAATACCTCTGAGTGTTAAACATCCTAAGTTGGACAATGAAATAGAATTCTATTTCAACGTCTTTATGGCATGTGGGACACAGTCTCTCATTGGCTGGTGTGTTACTGTAGCTACCCTTTTTCCATTTTCCAGAGAGTGGGCACTAATCCTAAGTTTTGTTATGCTGTTTTCAATGATTTGTTTCGGATTGATAAGAGATAGTTTTCCCGACCGAATTGTGTTTGATTTTGCAGTAGGTATTGAGTTTGGTACTTTGGTTTCTCGAGTACACGACAAGGACGCGTCAGGTTTCACCAACGTGTCCAAGCTTGGAAACCTGAGGAAATCTGACTTTTCAAACAGTGCTGCGTTTTATGATGTCAGACGACCTCTGAACCTGACTTATATATACTTTTAGAGTTTTTATGCCCAAATTACATTTCTTTAAGTCCACTTCAGGCGAAACTTAATATTCCTAGTTTGAAACCTGATCGGATTAAGGCTCTTTGCTATCACGGTCTTCTTTTCTTTGGTTGGTGTGCAGAGATAGCCTAGTAAGTACTCCACACGTCTTTGTAGCGCTTTTTATAACTGCTCGCTCCTAGCTACGACAGCATCAACAAGGTTGTGTTTTGCTCCTGCGTAAGAATTCAGTGTTCCACACAGTTCTGTAGCATTGTGCTTACTCATCCTCCCGAGGCAGGGTCGGTGGCGCGGTATTCTATACCTCTGCAACCGACCCTGCCATTCTGGCCACACAAACTTACTCCAGAGTGACGTGGCCCTACATATTAATGAGCTTGCCTTATTTGGCACAAGCCAATCAGCACCCGGATTATATAAATTCAAGATGGCGGACGTAAACGAAAGAACTTTATTGCACGGCAATTGCACATGGTACAATGTATGGCAAACTACATTAATTCGGGAAGTGCCAACTCATCATTTTATCATTCTATCATCAGTCTATCATTCAAGACCAAAATCCGACATATTATTCCTTTCACTTTAAAGTGACGAGCCAAAAACGCGACCCATGCTTTTTTTCCCAGGGGAACAGGTGACGTTACTGCGTGACGTCATCGATACCAACTTTTAAGAACGTTTTCTGCAAGTATGCAGCAGCGAAACCACGAAAACAACACATGTCCATAGCTAAAGTCCAGAGCAGATTTTTTTTCCGTTATAACTGTTTTGAGAAAAGCGATGTCTGAAAATACGATAGTCTTCTAATTGCTCCATTGTGAATCTGCCTGGCGGAGATCGGAAGGTTCCGGGTCGGAGTTCCAAATAGTGGCAATAAATCACCGTAATGCCACGCCATATTTCACTTCCTTTTGCCTGGCGATCGTTATAAATGAGCAAATAGTTTTTGAAAGTACGAAAGAAGATGATAATTCAAGACATGACATGATCGTTTGAAAAAATCTGTTTTTTAATACTCTGGATATTTTCTCCACCTTAGGAGACCCCGGCTCCAGTAACATCGGTGAGCCATTCCTATTGGTAGCTGACAGGAATGGAAAAATCATTCTTCAAGTTAACATCACTTCCGGTTCGAACACCACGCTTCCGCTCGGAGATGTAGGTCAGCCCGCCGCCCTGGACCACGACGCGCTCACGGACTACGTGTACTGGGCAGATAAACGGAACGAGAAAATCCACCGGGCTCGTCGTGATGGAAGTGGCAGGGAGACCATCTTAGACATCAGCAGTGAGTTAAAATATCATATTATCATGTTTTTTATGGAAATTGGAGACAACTATTACAAAACGCAACACTACATGATAATGTATGGTCTTACAAAGAAGATATGTATCAGAATAGTCCTCAAGCATATGTAAGGACCCGGCTAATTTCGTTATTTAACATTTAGATACACACACACACAACACACACACACGCGCGCGCGCACGCACGCACGCACGCACACACACACACACACACACACACACACACACACACGTGCACACACACCCTCACCCACCCACAAACACCCCACACACACACACAAACACACTATGTCGTTCATCTGTCTGCATGACTAGGACCGCACGCAAACACACAGACACTCACTCTCTCTCTCTCTCTCTCTCTCTCTCTCTCTCTCACACACACACACACACACAGAAACTCACTCACAAACACATAGTCATTCGTCCGTCAGGTTGACGAGGACCGCGTTGTCATCCCTCTGTAGTAGGGTGTGTCCTCAGGACAAACACACATACACACACACACACACACAGACACACACACACACACAGACACACACACACTTTGTCGTTCATCTGTCTGCATGACGAGGACCGCACGCAAACACACAGACACTCACACACACACAAACTCACACACTCACACACACAAACACACACACACACACACTTTCACACACTTTGTCGTTCATCTGTCAGCATGACGAGGACCGCATGCACACAGACACGCACACACTGTGTCGTCCGTCCGTCAGAAATACGAGAACCGCGCACACATACACACATGCGCGCGCGCGCACACACACACACACACACACACACACACACACACACACACACTGGCTGACCCGACAAAGATTCTAAATAGAACAGGTAGCGGTGCTTACGGTGTTCCTCTGGAAAAGTCAATCGGAGAATCATTTGTATAACTGATTAGGAAAATCTAAAATACTGGTGGAGGCTTCGTAGTACCTGTTTTTTTCTTTCGTTCCAAACTTTACATCTCAACAATGCTTGTTTTTACTGTGATTAAACTATGATACTTATAATTGTGTAATTTTACAATCAAAGCAGTGGTATGGACGGATCCCATCTGTCAACCAAATGTGGTTTAAGACAATGGCTGAAAAGTTATACAGTTCTGTGTTGTTGTTTTTTCACATCTGTGTTTTGTTTTGCATTTATAAATATATTTTATTCAAAGAATTCAGATTTGAGATTTTGAATCCAAAACAGGTCGTTATTCCAAATAGGAAGCTGGAATAAGTAACTGTGAACATGGCTTCCCGCTAGAAACCTTATCGGGATATTTTAGACTGGTTGTTTTGTCTGTGACATGTTAAGGATATCTCAGGTTGGACTGGGAGCCTATTTGTAATAACGACACGTTTATTGGTGTGACCCCGGCATTATTGGGGAATCTTACTGTGTTTACTGCGATGTTGTCGTGAACTGTTCCGTATATAAGAATTTTCTATTATATAGTACATGTATGTATATCAAAATCTTCTTGACGTGTGCATTTTCAAACATATTTATTCTACAAAACGTCCACACTTTTTTATGCAGCTGTCCGCGGCCTGGCGTTGGACCACGCTAGAGGGGATATCTACTGGACTGATTATGATGAAAACACCATCTCTGTAGCAAAGATGGATGGATCGTCAACTAGAACACTTCTGACGTCACCAGCCGTCAGCCGTCCTTATGACCTGGTCCTGGACCCCAGGAATAAGTGAGTAAAATACATTCAAAACTAGAGTTTGGAGGGCTCTTGCCTTCGACAGTGTGATATTGTTTTGGTGGGTGTTGTGTGTGTGTATAGTGTAGGCTTTTTGGAGATGATTATCGTAGTTATAGTCCTCAGAGAGTCTTTTTGTGAACGAAGCAACACACATGTACTATTTACCTAGCCTGTACCATGTCTTTCTACGGAAATACGGAATGTAGAATTCGTCATTTGGTACAGGGGTGCCTTGAGCATATGCTCAAAGAATGACATTTTGTAGCTTTGGCATACATCACTTGGGGAAAATGGTGTGAAACAGGTCTTTTCTGCTATTTTCAGACGAAAAATGTACATTTTTGGCTCCTGTGACCTAATATTACAACAAAATTACCTAAAATTTGGTATAGGAGTGCCTTTGACGTATGCCCAAAGAGCTATACTCACATTTTTGGTAAACACTACTTTGAATTTGTGTAAAATAAGTTTTTTTTCTGCTCTTTCCAGACAAAATGCTTTTAGTATTAATACCAAATGACCTGAAATTTGTTATAGATGTGTCTTAGGCAAATGCCAAATGAACTTAAGACATAGTTTGGCATACACCACTATAAAATTGTGTAAAATTGGTCTTTTTTGCTATGCCCAAAGAACAGAGCTAGCAATGCTGTAAGGTAGCAGCACACAGTATTAATGGGCGACCCCCGGGGGTCTGTGACGCGGGTATAGAAAGTAGTACAGCGAATATTCTTGAAGGCTGGGTAGAAAGCCTGATAAGAGCGTCAGCCAGACGTAAATTGTGCTGTGTGGTGTAGGAATGTATCGGGTTTGAGACTGTATGATTTGAATTGTGAAGGTTTTGCAGTTCGTGTATAAATGCGCCGTATTACGCAACTGGCTTTCCGGGTGAGTCGGCTGCAGTTCAGGTCACGTCCGTAGAGGGCGATTTCAAAGTGTACGTTACGAGCAGATACGCCGACAGGATTTTTTGGTTTCTAGATATTTTGTGGTTTGTGCCTTCTTCTCAAACATATTCGATTTTCGTATTTGTGAAGTGCACCCTACTGTACCCTACAATTTATTTTGGTACTTCTTTTTTAGATAATTTTTTTCTTAGGCAAATTTTGCTCAGAAAGGCCCAGTTTTCTGGTAAGAAGGACAGAAGAATGTATATTTTTGAAATATGGCCAAAAAGTGTGACATTTTTCATGGTTTTAGCTGTTATTGACCTCTAAATACTTGTGATCTCCATTGCGGTATCCAGTAGCGGATGACTTGGGAGTTGGAGGTCCCCAGATGAGTTTTTTAATAGCCTATCGTCTGTCAACAGCATAACTTGAGAAAGCTTAGATATGGATGATCTTGATATTTGGTAGGTGGGTAGGTCTTGATGAGACCTGGAAATGATTAGAACAACAAAAAACGCAAACACAAAAGGTCAGCTCCAGTCACGTAAGAACCCCCCCCCCACGAAGCCCATTTCTGGTCATCACAATGCCCATCACTAAGACAACCTGCCTGCCAAAAATCGTGAACCACGGACCATGCCTTCAAACTTTATCGTGCATAATCTGCAAAACAGTGCAAAAACGATTTCACTGCCTTCTGTCGAAGGCAAACAGGCATTTTACATAAATGGGTACAGGGCTGTGTGTGTTAACGTTTGTAACTGCATTTCAACCAGTCCATCGTTTTAAATACGTCATAGTGCAAACGTTAATTAACATCCTACTGGTAACTAGACTTCCACGATCTCATACATTCGCCAAATGAGGTTAATCTTTATGACTGATAAAGATTATTCCTCCTGATTATGCAAATATGCTCCTCATTTGCATGAATTATATCAGTTGATCATATTCTCCACCCAACGACAGCCTTAACAAAGAAATCCATTCTATTATTTCGTCATAAATTATCCAAATGAGGTCCTTATTTGAATCAGTTAATGATGTTCACCTTTACTTAACTTTCAAAGGCCATCCAATGCGAAATCGAATCTTCGTCAATTTACAATCACTTACAGAGGCCCAACAATTTGGAACAACCTAAGTAGAACTTTACAAATTAGTCCCTCCGTCACCATTTTCAAAAATCATACTAAAGTAGCTTTCATAAATAACCCCACACATTCTTAATTTTTGTTTAAGTTTCCTTGTTTACTACTTTTCATTACTACTTTTCATTATGGTAGATAGTATTGTATCGTATTGTATTTTATTGTTTTGTTTCATTTACACATTACCTAAGTTATTTCTTATTTATCCGATTATTTGAATTGTTAATCACGTTATGAAGTGTCACGTTATGAAGAGGTCAGAGGTCATCCGCCGCGAACAGACACCTTCTGTAGAGCTCCTGAAATCTTTTCCCCTGCGCAAGTATTCTTTTTGGTTTGACTTTTATTTTCTGTTCCTTGAGTTGGCCCAAGAATACCGTTTATGTTACTGATCAAATTTTCTTCAAAAACTGCGAATTCTCTGCGAAAATAAGCCAGCAAAACCCGCTTGAATGGTTGTGGCGTAATCAACAAGGAAGGTGTCTTCTGGCGCGAGCGTTTTAGCGATATACTGTCGTCATATATTTCATGTTACTTGAGCAGTAGCAAGAGCTTGGATATATGTTGTTGCATGAAGTATAAAACGATATAAACAAGTAGGACATGTAGGAAATATTGTACAGATTTGAACTGGACATAGAAAATCCGAATTGGCTCCAAATAGGCGAGTAGTTAATTAGGTTAATGAATTCTTTGTATGTATGATATTTATGTATTACTAACTTTCTGGAGTCGTTATGGCGTTTTTAAAAACTGTGTTAACTATTGTTAAATGCTACACACTGTTGGTAGCTGTGGTAGTTGTTGCTTTAGTACCAAAAACGCGTCATCCAAAGGATTTGCTGCAAATCGAGGACAGATTAACTCTATCAACACGCAGCTGGCAGTGTGCACCTGAACATCCCGCGGCGCTCGGCCTGTCTGGGATCTACGCTGTCAGCAACATCACGCTGAAGGGAGAGAATCCGTCATGTAAATCCTCGAATCGGACTTCAAGTTCAACTAGCATGTCATCACTACTGGCGACACTCATCCTGCTGTTGTCTGGCGATATCCACGTAAACCCTGGACCGATTGACCTAGGCCTGGCCAGTAAAGGACTGCATGTTGGACATGTTAATGTAAATAGTCTAAGGAACAAAGTGCATGAAATAGCTGAGTTACTAAGCATCAACAATCTTCACATTTTAGTGATTCAGAACCCAACCTTGATAATGGAATATCCAACGGCACGCTGGTAGTTGCAGATTATGTCTTAGTAAGAAGGGACCGCACTAATAAGGGAGGGGTTGTGTCGCTCTGTACATTAAAGATTGCATTCCATACAAACACAAACCCGACTTAGAAATTCCGGACATAGAAGCACTGTGGGTAGAGATACACCTTCCATATGCTAAACCCATTCTTGTAGGCTGCATATACAGACCACCAAGCGCTAAAATAGACTATTTACATAAAATCACACAAATGTTTGATATGGCTACGCGGGGTGATCGAGAGGTTATAGTATTGGGTGATTATAACATCAATTGGACGGACATTAGCTGCCCCCTCCGAGGTAGACTCCTGTTGGAATCATCCGCACTGAACTTACACCAGATGGTCAAGCAAGCGACTAGAATAGCTCAGGCATCTAATGACAGCGCAACTAGAACTTGTATAGATCTTATATTTTCCAACAGGTCTGATAAGTTTACAAACACAAAATCAGTTCCCTTAGGATACACAGACCATAACTTGATCCACACCACACGGAAAACTAAAGTTCCAAAAAGACAACCCACAATTACGCTCAAACGCTCATACAGCAAGTTTGACCCTGAGACTTTTGCACATGACATTGCACTAGTACCCTGGCACCTCGTAACTAGCGAAGACTAGTTGTTTTATGGCACTGTTCACACAGGTAGCAGACCAGCACGCCCCTGTCCGAAAAATATCAGTGAGGGCCTCACCGGCCCAGTGGGTCGACGAGGGCCTCCGAGATCTGATGAGACATGCAGAGGGACGATGCTAATCGTGAAGCACAGGCATCAGGTCTCGCGTCCGACTTCGAGGTGTACAGGCGTCTGAGAAATGTGGTAGTCGGAATTAACAGAAAGAAGAAGAAAGCACATTACAACAAACTGCTCGAAGGTCACAGTAGAGACAGAAACACACAACAGCTGTGGAGCGTAATCAATGGAATATTAGGCAGGAACACACGTAGAACGCCGACATGTATTGAAGTAAATGGTAATATTCTGACAAAACCAAGGGAGATTGCTGAACACTTTAACGACTATTTTGTAAACAAGGTAACGCGACTCACACAAGGTGATCACATTGATATAGCCACAGTAACAGCACCGATTGAGGAACACATCATGTCATCAAAAAACTGTACATTCTCTTTTCACGAAGTTACAGTGAGTCATGTGCGTAAGCTGTTAACCTCGCTTCCACTTAGTACGTCGATGGGGGTTGACAACATAGACAATACATTATTAAGAAGTTCAGCTGACTACATAGCAATACCCCTGAGTTACACATTGTCCATAAAACAGGGAATTTTCCCCACTCAGTGGAAAATGGCCAAGATACTACCCCTCATCAAAAACAAAGCCCTTCCACTAAACGGTCCTAACAGTCGTCCGATAAGTCTTCTACCTACACTGAGCAAAATGATGGAAAGGATTTGTAACAGTCAAATTCAGTCTTACCTTGTTTCCAACGCAATCCTGTCTGACAACCAGAATGCGTACAAACTTCAGCACTCTACAGCGAGTGCTCTGGTACAAATGTCCGACAGGTGGTTAGAAGAGATAGATAAAGGTAACCTTGTTGGCGCTGTCCTCTTGGACTTTAGTGCCGCTTTTGACGTTGTGAACCATGAAATCTTATTAGCCAAACTAAAAAGTTATGGCTTTGTCGATTCCGCAACTAACTGGGTTAAAAGCTACCTGGCAAACAGAACACAGGCCGTTTTCGTTAACGGCAGTGTTTCCTCTCACAGAGAAATCAAAAGCGGGGTAACCCAAGGTAGTTGTCTGGGCCCTCTACTATTTTGTTTATACACTAACGATCTGCCCACAGTCGTAAAACACAGTTCTGTAGAAATGTACGCTGATGACACTACCCCATCAGCATCAGGCCCTAACATATCGGAAGTACGGAACTCACTCCAGTCAGACCTGACAAACATCTGGGACTGGGTCCAAGCTAACAGGCTGGTGTTAAACTTGGATAAGACTAAGACCATAGTCATGGGCACCCGTCACAAACTCAAACAAAACCCACAACTTCAGCTCGTAATGGGTAACAAAAGCTTAGAACAGGTTGAGCAGGCGAAACTGCTTGGACTGTTGCTGGACAATCAGTTGACCTGGGCTCAACACACAGAGAAAGTTCAATCTGAAGTGGCAAGTGCGCTGGCTGCTTTGACTAGATCAAGAAAATTTCTTACATAAGAAACGCTAAAAACAGTAACACAAGCACTTGTCTCAAGTCACTTGGACTACTGCTCATGCATAATGTCGGCCTGTCCGCAATCTCACCTTAACAAACTTCAGATCATCCAAAACAAAGCAGCCAATCTGGTGCTAAATGCCAAGTATAGCTCTAGCATTGACGATATGCACACACGCCTACACTGGTCCACTGTCAAAGAGAGGTTGTACGCAGGAACACTTTCAATGTTCAAGAAACTTCTCACAACCAAAAAGCCAGAATCAATCTACAAAAGATTACAGACAGTTAATGATACACACCAACACAATACACGCCTAGCGCACAGACTGCCAAAACCAATAACAGCCTCAGCCAAACGAACATTTCTGTACCGCTGCACTAAATCATATAACATACTTCCACAACACATCAGACTATCCGCACCTACATCGTTTAAGAAACATATCCGGGAATGGTTGAAAACTGTGGTGGACACCTCCAAACCCTTACAAGAATGGTGGTAGTAGAAATGTAGATATGTAAATATGAATCTTTGTCTAAATTTTATTTTATGACCTCTGACCTCTCGGTACTACTTGCATGTTGTGTGTGGTTATGTAGTTTGTAGTTAAGCCTTACCATGTTGTTATGATAGTAGTTTGTAGTCAACGACTCCAGGAAGAATAGTATGTATGGCAACTGTACAAACTAATGGAGATCGGTCTAATAAACAAACAAGGGGGGCCTCCTCATAAGCATTTTTATGCTTCCGGCCTCCCTGCACTGTTACATTTCATTTATATTTTCTTGTATCTGTATTGCTACATTTCATTTTAAAGTGCGAATAAAAAACTGAACTGTAAATACCCAAAGTATGAAATTCCAGGCAGTTACCATCATGTAATTCTATCATTTTCTCATTAATTGTGTAAAATACGTGTTTATTTGCCTGTGTTTCACTCATTCTCAATTACATATATCACAAGCTTGAATAGTTCTTTAATGTAATACAGCTGATTTATAGAATTTCCTCATACATTATACAAATTATATCCAGATAATTTTCCATACTTATGTTAAGCATCACTTAAGCTACCTACATACCAAAAATCACGACGATCCGTTAACCGGTTCTTGAGTTATCCTCCTTCGTAGATTTTTCAACTAATGTTCTGCTGCAGTACCAATAAAAGCCGCCAAGGAGCCCAAAATCTAAACATTTTTAGATCAAGACGTATCAGTATCTGTATAGCCGGTACAACCGCCTTTCGGCGTAACACACCAGCTTCGCAGGCACGCGGCGCGGCGGCAGCTGGCTATATTACACCGATCGACTTGTTACACCTAACCCTTGAACTTCTAGCTCTAGACATTGTTTAAAGCTATCTATTGACAATGCCCCTACTGTACTTGGTGACAGTGAGTTCCACTCTGCGATAGTTCTAGGAAAGAATGAATTCTTGAACACCTCAATCCTTGGTTGATAACTCTGATACTTGAATGCATGGCTATTTCTTGTTCTCTTCTGGGCTGGTACTAGGTACTTAGTAGTTGGGACATCCACCAGTTTATTAGTCATTTTGTACATCATGCATAGTCTGGACATCTTTCTTCTGTCTTCCAGTGAGGTCCACTGTAGGTTTCTTTTCATTTCCGTGACACTAGCACCTCTTTCATAGTTGTTCATACAGAATCTTGCAGCTTGATTCTGTACCCTTTCCAATTTGTCTTTGTCTTTCGTACCAACCTACTAATTTACATGGCAATGCATAAAAAGCTTTTTGAGTAATGCTGTTCACAAACAAACAGACAAACAGGCGAACAATCCCTATTGAAAACATAACCTTCTTGGCGAAGGTAATAAAGTATTTTTAAAGAACCACCCTTGCAGTTCCTGCGCAAGCCGCTAGGTGGCCCAAACTTACGTCACTTCTTCCCCAGCACAATCCCAACCTACCTTTAAAATTTCGTGTCCCTATAGCTATCACCTTTAGGTCATGAGATATCAAAACCGGAAGTTCCGCTGCAGTACCACAACAAGCCGCTAGGGGCCCAAAAACTAATCATTCCGAGGTCTCATCAAGACCTACCCGCCTACCAAATATGAAGACAATACATTTTAGCCTTCTCGAGTTATTGTTTACAGACACACACACACGAACGCCTGAAAACACAACCTTCTTGGCGAGGGTAATAAAACTTGATCTGGTGTTCCGGACTCCTGGAATATCATGTTACTGTTTTGTTGTGACCTCTTATTTTGTGTGCTTTAGGCAGAGAGCATCGATGTGTAGGGATTATGTGGATTTTATTGTCATTATGAATAATCTATATCATTTATGGTAATAATAATAATAATCTGATAACGCTGTACAAGGAAACACCATTTATTAACATGTATGAAAATTTAGCGGAGATAAGAGGTTTTGTTTGCTTGACTCCTTTCACAGACTCATGTACTGGGCGGACGGTGGTAATGACAGAATTGCCCGTGCTGCGATGGACGGCAGTAACCAAACCACCATCATCACGGGCGTGTCTAAACCCCGCGCCGTTACAATAGACTATAGAGGTGAGAAACAACACAGCAATAAACAATTTACTAAATATATTTATTTATTTATACACAAAAGAATTATTAATCAAGAAAGAACATTTTGAAACGCGTTATTTAGTAGGTCGGTGTTACCTGACTTATTGTATTGTATGAGGGCAGGAGTGGTTTAAATAAATCTGTACTACGTGTAATGAATGACGTTCAATCATGATTGAACATCCTTGGTGTAAGATATTATCTACGTGCACGTTTACCCTCTCTGTAGTGTTACTCAACAGTCGCAGTATTCACATTGATGGGTGCATAAATCCTTTGTTATTCCTTCATTTAGAGGACCGGCTGTACTACTCTGATATACACCGCATGTACAGCTCAGACCTGCTGGGTAACGATATACAACTGCTGTCTGAATCCGGGAAGTGGGTGTATGGAATTGCTGTTGACGAGAACTACGTCTACTGGTCGTCTTCTTGGCTTGATTCATCAAGGACAAGGCAAGGGAAAGTTGGAATGTAAGAAAATCTAGTAAACATTAATGTACGCATTTCCCTGCTGATGTCGTGTTCTTCTGCTCGATGTTGTATCAAAGGATATTATTTATTTTGTAAACATAACTTATGTTTGTTTAGTAGGAGGTGGATTATATCTAGGTTACCTTCAAGTTGGTTTTGTACTGAATTAGGATAGGTATTAACCACGGATTTAGTCCCCGGCTCCATTGGCCAATAATAGCGATCGTTTCGCGGTGGTGTTCCGTAGACTCAATTGACCAATAGCGCCCCAGGGCTTCCACGCCCGACCTCAGTATGCAAAAATAATCCCGTCGTCCTTTGTGTAATAGTTATTCCGGTAAACTAAGTTGAAAATAACACTGGGTACGGAATACCCACACCTGATGTGCGTTACCACATAGGGTACATTATATCGTCCAGAAGCTATTGAAAACGGACCTTTTGCTTCATATTTTGATCACAGTTTAGTAACATGAACGGATGCTCACAAATGATGTGTTTCACTGCATGTACGTTTAAGAGTTTTTTTTTATTGTTTGTTTTTTGGCGACGCCTCTGGGACGGAGGCAGTTGTGTACTAAGATCGCTTTAAAAGGATGTCAAAATTGCACGAATGTATTTCCAAGTGTAGCCTTCGGCCATGTGGTCTTTGTACCGAGAAATAAACACCTTTGTTTCTTTGCATATAAAAGGCCCCATTTGATGTTAAAATACTGTGCATCTGCCCTTGTCTGCAGGAAGAACCAATATGTCTTGATTAGTGGCCAAATCTTTGAGAGCACGTTCTTCCCGTGTGATGTTACTAGTAGGGGGTTTGGGGACTTTTGGGCAGTAGCTACTTTGGTGCGCAAGGCTTTAGCTTGTCTCTATGGTAAACGTGCCCGATGAATTGCTGTTTATCCATGTGACCCTTCCCTCCTGGTCCAATACTGTACTACAGTATTGTATGTGGGGTAAGAATAAGCTAATGTATATAGCTTGCAATGCTTGTCTATTTGGGAACGGCTTCATGCTTATTGACTTGTTGAAAAGCTTGGTTAGTCGGCGTCCAAGAATATGTGCACCCACTTTTAGGAGCCTATTGTCCACATTATCGAGTCCAGTGGCTTTCCTTACTTTGAGTTTAGTCAACTGGTTTATAACAATTTCTTCCGTAATTAGAGTAAAGGCAAATGTGCTGGTGGATTTGTTAACGAACTGGGAAGCGGTAAGGTGGGGAACATTTGAAATGGAGTTATACAAATCACCCACAACTTTGTGAAAGAAGACATGAAGGTAATCCACTATTCCTTTAGTGTCTGTGATATTCTGGCCATTATGTATAATACGTACAGTTTCTGGTGTCTTCTTTGGTATTAAATTACGATTGGCTTTCCACATTCCCGCCTGTCCCTTTGATAATTGAGTGTACAGCGTGATCTCTTTTGACCTTCCGGCACAAGTAGATTACTTGTTTTTTTATTGCCTTATATTCAGCCATATCGGTTGCGTTACCTGAGCTTTTGGCCTTTTTATACAAATCCTTTTTAATTGGCGCATGCACATTCGCGACACTGGTGACTAACCTCCAAATTTTCTATGGCTATCGGTCCATCTTGTTCACGGAATTGCCTAATCTCGCGAGGGCGCGAGACTATGCCAAAGACTTGTAGTCCCTTCTATTAATTACAGTTACTAGTTTGTATCTTTGGACCTTTAGCCTTGTGATAAGCAAATGTCATTGCATAATCACTCAACCCACTCCATATGTTCCTTGGTTATGACAGTTGGATTGCTCATTCGTTAAGATTACATCTATAGAAGAGCTGGGTGTGTCAGTGATTCGTGTCGATGTAGTGATGATGTTTACAAGTTGGTGCAGCATACGTGAAAATCTCAGCTTACCAATTGGACGGGCTTGGTCTGTTCTAAGACAGTCACAATTTAGGTTACCAATTATAATGGTCTCCTTATGCTCATCGTTGACATCGTTGTTCATAAAATCATCAAATTTATCGAAGAAGTTGAGGTTGTCGGCTGGGGTCGATACATGCTACAGACTAAGATGTTTTAACGAGAAGGCGGCATAATTTCTGCCCATACGGCTTCAAGGCCGGGAATTTCTAGGTCTGGTCGAGCTTTGAATGGTTATTGTTGAGAAATATGAAGACGAAAAGACTATAATTGCGAGCCCTTCCGCCTGTTTATGACCATTTAGTTATTTCTTGTTCTTTACAATCGTATTTCAAGTTAATGGTTTATGTTTAAGGATTACCCACAGATGACACAACACACTTTCAGCTGACTTAAGACATGTACCAAGACAACTCTCTCACAGTTTAAAGCAGTCATAAAACGTGTGTCGTATGAAACCTGACTTCTGGCCTCCACTTTCGAACTTTTGTGTTTTGACCATGGATCGGCTAGGACGTTGAGAATTAGTTCATGATTTTGTTTTCGACGCATCGGACCTATATGTTTTTATGTCTACTGTAACATTGTCCTGTAACAAGCTGAAAAACAGCCTTGAAAACAGCCAGTGTAGGATGAATGGGGTTATCCAGCCGTCTTGAGATTGATAAATAAAAAAAACACCAGTATTTGAGATGTTTTCCCTGGTGAAATAAATAAACAAACATATCATTACTACTGCAACTCCCTGATAGGATTTATTGTACGAAAACCATCATTGTACACAGACACACACACACACACACACACACACAGTACACACACACACACACACACACACACACACACAGTACACACACACACAGTACACACACACACAGTACATATAATTTAGGCATATGCATAAATACATATATCCATACTTGAACAGACACAATAAGTTGCTCTGTTTCAATCCCCCAGGTTATCCAAGTCAAACTTGACCAAGACTGTCCTGGTGGAGGGTCTGGCATCGCCATTCGACATCCGCCTGTCCACCACTGGTAAGTACATATTCAGACAGGTTTTGTACCTCTTTTCTGTAGGCAACAGGGTCTGGAGACCACACTGGGAGAGTTTAACAGTGACTGGTTTGTCGAGAAGAGGAAGTCGAGTCTGAGAGTTATTGTATAGATAGAGGATACCAGTTCTCTATGCAGTTATGAACTAGTTTCCTAAAATAGTATGAATTTGATTTTTACAAAGCTTAAAGGACATGATATTTCTGTAGGTTGTCCAGTGAGTTACACCTCACACGGGGATTCGTGCTTCAAGGCGTACAACCAAGTCAAAACCTACAGTCAGGCCAGACAGGTGTGTGCAGCGGACGGGGGGCTCCTCGCCATGCCGAAGGACAGAGAAGTGGACGACTTCTTGTTGGACCTCAAGAACGCCGTGAATCCCAACTCTCCTTTCTGGTTGGGCCTGAACAATCAGAACGGAGAAGGAGGGTGGTCGTGGGAAGACGGGACTCCATACAGCCCAACCGCAGACTGGACTGGGTGGCAGCCTGGGGAACCCAACAGTAACGGAGAAGGCTGTGTCAACCACCTCGGGACCGGATGGAACGACGCGCCGTGCTCGTCCGCATCCAACTTCATCTGCCAGCTGAAGGACGGTATGTCAAAATTATGTCAACTTTACCTCCGCAAATTAGTAACATTATTTTGGTCCGTTTCCTCTTCTTTAACTCCAAATTAATGTCAATGACCCGGACCACACGGTTGTCCTGCCTGCCTTACAATGACCCTTGTGTTTGGTTGAATTGATGTAGCAAAGTGGCAGGGCCGACCTCCAGGGACTGGTCACCATATATGGTGTTGGAATAAAGTATGTAACTTTATGACGGAATAGGCTGGAGAGGCTGGTCACTATCAACTTGAACCTCGATGTTTAAGTCAAAATTAGCAGATCAGTAGTTGGGCTGGACCATGTTACGGTAAACATTGCAAATGTTACAGTTCTACCTAACAGGCTGTTTCCTTACACAGCGATCCGCTGTCCCCTCGGGTACTTCCGGTGCGGACGCGGACATGCCTGCACCCTGACCTGGAGGCGGTGTGACGGGAGGACGGACTGTTCGGACGGGAGTGACGAGGACGGTTGTGGTAAGCTGCTCTCACAAAGTCCTTTTAGTTCTCACCTACACTTCTCGTACAATAACCTTACATGTAGATTCAATTTTCTTTCCAATGGAAGAAGGTCTTGATATTAGGCATTATTTACTCCTGCTCCCGGCATGCTTATCTCACAATATTAACTCCCATCATCCATTTATATATTTGTTTTGTCGTCGCCCTTAATGCTGAAAAAATTGAAAGTAACAAGAAAATAAATAGAAATAGAAGAATAGAATCATTATTATGGTAAAAGTCCGATGATTTCATGATGGTGCAAAAAAGTTTCAACTTGCATTTGGGGCAGAATTCTTAATTTGATCATTTTTACATCTTTGTCAGTGCCTCCTGTCGATGTTTAAAGAATGTGAATGGTTAATGCATGGCTATTTTGTAATATGCAGAGTGCCTGCCGATTCCTGTGGATTTCAACCTCGGCGGTAGACTTACAATGTTACCAAATCAGCTGGGTGAGACGACGTTTGAGAAGATACAGAATTCCTCTTTCGTGGACCTGCTCAACAGTTCGTCCGCAAACGGACAGAACCGACACCCCGAGTTCCGGGAATTCGCATCTGCAGTGATTTTCCCGCAATGTGCTGTACCCAAAGAGAACGACACTACCTGCTCTTTGTCTCGTCATGCAGACAACGCCACCTCGTGCATGTGAGTAAACATACTTCGTTACGTTGATCATGATTTTTGACGACGCCTGAGGGGCGGAGCCGTTGGAATTGTACTGCGATTGAGTTGAAAATATTCTAAGAATTCCACGTAAAGCATCCAATAGGGAATTGAATTTTGTCAACAAGATAACTCAAGAACGACAGGAGGATTGGTTTTATACTTGCAGGGCTCGTAGGGTGTGACTAAATCCCAAAATGATAGGATTTTGGGTCCCTCGTGGCTTCCCTTGGTACTGCAGCGGAACTTCTGGTCTTGATATTTCGCGATCGGAACATGCTATGGTCATGAATTTTAGATGGAAGGTAGCTCTTTTGCTTAGAAAGAAGTCACGCGAGTAAAGGCCCCCTATCAGCTTGTTATGGAACTGCAGGATGATTTCTTTTTATCTAAAAGAGCGGTTGACGGATCGTCATGATTTTTGGTATTTTGGTAAGTAGGTAGTTTAAGTGATGCTTGATATAATTGAATTACAATTATGAAAATCATCATCTAATTTGCATAATTAATGAAGAAATTCTATAAATCTGCTGTGTTCGATATTATGGCTATGAAACACTTGTGAAATTTGTAATTGAGAAAGACAAGAGCTTAAGCAGATATTCATTATGTAAATAAATACCTAATTTGCATAATTAATATGAACTATACAATGTTATAGTGGTAATTGCTGGGAATTTAGTACTTGCCGTACTGGAAGTTCTGTGAAGGTGAACATCACTTAACATAATTTATTCAAATTGGGTCCTAATTTGCATAATTTATGAATAAATGCCAGAATACCCTTATTTTCAAGGGTATGTTTATTATTAAATCCTCGTGAGAAACTTATGACTGGCCCACATCCTTAAACAAGCACACTATAACCAAAACAGACATCATGATCATCACTCACATCAAAAGAGAATCACGCAGCCGAGGCGTGTTTTAAACGCTACTTTATTAGTATCGGTAAGTTTTATAATTCCACAGGTATGGTTAGCAATAAGTTCGTTCATGTCCAAATGAAACGTAAACGTTCGTGCTTAAATTGCATTTTCTTTTTTGTGTGTTTTAAAAGTAAGAAAACCTCATGTCAATATTCCTAAATCTGTCTGTGTATTTAGGAACAAACCACTGCTACCGTGCCGTTCGTGGTGTGAGGAAGTCCTCAACATGGCTGATACCCGGATGAAGAAGCGGTTCCCTACCTGTGACTTGTTTCCACCACCACAGCACGGCTGTTGGAACCCTGAACCAGCGACAAGGAACGGCGAAGGTAAAGAGAGAAATAGACTCATGACTTCCCGCTGGCAGTGGCATTTGTAATTGGCATGTTCCCATTCCCTGGTATTTAAGAACAATCATGCATTTAGAGGTGCATTTATTTGTTTACCTGTAGGATAAATTGCTTATTTGTGGCCGTTTTTCCTCCTCAGTTTGCTACCACGGTGGCGGCATGAACTACCGCGGCACACGGAGTACAGCCAAGTCCGGGGGAGAGTGTGTGAAGTGGTCCGCTGCGCAGGAAGGGTTCTACCCAGCCGCGTACCCCTGGGCCAACATGGATAACAACTACTGCCGTAACCCTACCGGTCTGGGGCGGCCATTTTGTCTGGTGGAAGATGGCAGCCAGCAGGAATGCGACGTCGTTTCCTGCAGTAAGAACCATACCATGGTCAAATGATGTGATTACCTTCCTAGTGAACCTGTGTTTAGTGTTTTTTGTTTGTTTGTCAATACTTTATTTATTCTTACTGCTGTGTGCACCAACCCCTCCTGCCTCTTCCCAGGTAGTTCGTTCTGTGAACTTTGACGATGACTACCGGTAGCTTTAATCCTGTGCTTTTGAGGTCTCCCGGCAACAGTAAATGTTTGACATTCATGCATGTTAATGTAAACAGTATTGTGGCGGGAAACAAACTTGATGAGATCTCAGCCCTTGTGTGTGATTATAATCTTGACATAGTTGCTGTTACTGAATCCTGGCTTGGTGATTCTATCTTGTCAGAAGATATTTCCTTGGATGGTTTTCAACTACCTATCCGTCGTGACCGAAATCGGCACGGCGGTGGGGTCCTCATTTATGTCTCTAATGCTATCTCATGTATAAGAAGAAGCGATCTTGAGGATACATCTTCTGAAACTATTTGGCTGGAACTCCAGGTTGGCATCTTTAAGATTTTATTTTCTGCCTACTACAGACCACCTGGTCAACAAGTTTGCATAATTAATGACTTCATTGACCACTTTATCGACTCTGTCATCGGGGCGCAATCAGCGCGCCCTGATGCCATCGTCGTTACCGGAGACTTTAACGCGAAGCATAGTGAATGGTGGCATCTGGACCCAATTAACTACGCTGGCGCGAAGCTCCATCAAGCGTCACATTTTCTAAACCTCCACCAAATTATTACCGAACCTACCTGTGACTTATCTCAGTCCCCTTCATTAATTGACTTAACATTTACTGACTGTCGAAATTTCTTTTCTAAAACTCTCATCTTGTCTCCCCTGTCCAGCTGCCACCACTCTCCCATTATTGGTTATATGAATTTCTTTGTCTCTGTTCCAAGACCGTATTCTCGAATAATCTGGGACTACAAAAATATTAATTATGATTCCCTCTCAGAGTCTCTGGCAGATCCCAGATGGTTTGAAATATACGGATGTGGAACAGTTGATGATGCCAGCTCTAAACTCGTTGAACTAATTCTTGAAGCGAAATATCGCTGCATTCCTCACAAAAGCGTAATTATCAAACCTAAAGACAAACCTTGGATGTCTTCTTATATTAGAAATTTAATGCGTGTGAGGGATAAGCTTCACAACAGCGCAAAACTATCAAACTCTTCGTCAGCCTGGAATTCATACCGCAAAATTCGGAACAAACTAACTAATACAATTTCTAAGGCAAAGAGTGATTATGAATCTTTTTTGGCCCAGTCCCTTTCAAATCCCTCTACAGCGCCCAAGAAATGGTGGCATATCATTAAAAGATTTTACAAACCTAAGACACAAAGCACAATTCCCCCACTTTCCAATTCATATGGTGCACAATCTATTGTTGATGCTTATGAAAAAGCTTGTATTTTCAATGATTTCTTTATATCACAGTCAACAATAGATAGTTCAAATGCCTCCCTCCCCTATCTTACATTTTATACTAATGAAAAATTAGCATCTGTTCTCACTACCCCTGATGAAATTGAGATGTATGTTAATTGCCTGGAGACCTCGAAAGCTCACGGATATGATAACATTGACAATCGTTTTTTTAAATTTGTAACTCCTTTGATATCGGATAAGTTAGCTTACGTATTTAATCTGTCTTTGTCACATGGTATTTTCCCTAACATTTGGAAAAAGGCTAATGTTATTCCTATTTTTAAGTAAAAGGTGATCCCCGAGATAAATCAAATTATCGTCCTGTGTCGCTGTTGCCAACCTTGTCGAAAATCTTGGAGAAGATCGTGTATAAACATATTTACAATCATCTTATAACTAATGAGCTCTTGTACGCCTTTCAGTCAGGTTTTGTTAAAAATGACTCTACTGTTTCTCAACTTGTCTATATATGTAACCTTATTTTAGACGCATTTGAAAAGGGCAAAGAAGTGCGCTCTGTATTTTTGGATTTCTCTCGAGCATTTGACAAGGTGTGGCACGCCGGCTTGATCTTTAAACTTCAGCAATATGGTATCGAGGGACCCCTACTGAACTGGTTATCTAACTATTTATCTGATCGTTTTCAAAGAGTTGTTCTTGATGGTCAAATGTCTCCGTGGAGGAAGGTGGGCGCAGGTGTCCCCCAAGGTTCCGTGTTGGGTCCACTCCTTTTTATTGTATATATTAATGATATTGTAAATGATCTGGAAACCTTACCATGTTTATTTGCAGACGATAGTTCTTTGTTTG